GAACGGGCGGTCCGCGGGTGCCACGAATGCCAAATCCACGCCAACAAGCAGCACCTGCCCAGTGCGGAGCTAAGGAGCATAACGGCCCCGTGGCCATTCGCGCAATGGGGCCTCGACTTGCTGGGTCCATTCCCAACCGCTCCCCTAGGGAAGAAGTATCTGGTCGTGGCGGTCGACTATTTCACCAAGTGGATAGAGGCCGAGCCGCTGGACACCATCACCAGCGCCAAGATCCAGAAGTTCCTCTTCAACAATATAATGATCAGGTTCGGAACTCCCAATACAATCATCACTGACCACGGGACGCAATTCGATTGCAGGCCGTTCGAAAATTTCTGTGCCAGGAACCGCATCACCTGTAGGATGGCTTCGGTGGCTTTCCCGCAAGCCAATGGACAGGTGGAGTCGTCCAACAAGCTGATCCTCCGAGGTCTAAAGAGGCGGCTCAAGGAAGCAAAGGGAGGGTGGACCGCCGAGCTCCCGCACGTGCTCTGGGCACACCGCACAAACTACAAGCGGGCCACCGGAGAAACTCCATTCGCCCTGACGTATGGCTCCGAGGCGGTCGCTCCCACTGAGGTCATCCTGCCCTCGTTAAGGGTCCAGGCGTATGATGCAGAGGAAAACCACAGGAAGCTGCTCCACCAACTCGACATGGTAGAAGCAAGGAGGGATGCGGCGCTAGCTCGAACCGTGCAGGAAAAACTCAAGGTGGCCAAGACATACAATGAGAAGGTGAGGCCTCGCCCACTTGAAGAGGGCGACATGGTGCTCAAAAGGAACTTCGAACAGAAAGAGGGGCATGGAAAGCTGGCCGCCATATGGGAAGGACCATTCCTGGTCGACGAGAAGATCGGAACCGCTACATACGCGCTAGCTTCCATGGGAGGACAGCCAATTCCCAAGACATGGAATGCAATCCATCTCAAGAAATACTTCAGCGAATAGGAGAGGTTATGAGGAAAATTTTGTTGGGAGCCGCCGCTACCAGTTGTAGCACTTTTGTAAAGCTTCGCAGCTTCGCGTCCCTTAAGTTTAAACTCCAATATTTTCAGTCGCCGCTGAGCGATGCGGTTCCGCACTGCTGCCAGCATGTGGCGTCTTTTGTAAAGCTTCGCAGCTTCTCACTCTCTAGTTCAAACCCCTATTTTTCAACTGCCTCCATAACTCTTTCCAAATTCGCACCAACGAGCACGTAAGACCGCGTGAGACCTCACTCTCAAATCGAAATAACCGCCCCCGAGCGCTAAGTTTGTGCACGTTCCCCCCAAGTCAAAATAACCGCCCCTGGGCATTAAGCTCGAGGCAAGTCCTCGCCACTATGTCCCGATCGCTGCGAGACGGTCCGTTAACGGAAAGGTCATCCTTCCTTGACTTGTCTTTTTCCTAGCAAAATTGAAAGCCCGTTTAGACGCCCTAGATTTTCGTTTCCGCCTCGTAAGGGCGGATGAAAAAGAGAGCTAAAGCAAACATCCCACTCACAACATCAACGAAGAACATGCATGAGCCTAACTCTAAGGCAGGGTGAAAAAGAGAGATAAAGCAAGCATCCCAGCAAATATTACATAAACCATCGCACTAAGGCGGAATGTATCAGTTAAGCAAAAAGGAAATAAAAGACGCTCTCCGACGTCAAAAGCTAACTTAAGAAGAACCGCCATCAACGGGACCGGGTTGATCCACTTCACCGCCAGAAGTGGGATCTGCAGACTGGACTTCCTCGGAGTTAACATCGTTGTCACCCCAGAACTCCACTGCGTCCCAAACCGCATTTCGATCCCAATGCACGTAGGGGTGATCCCGACGGAAAAGGTGGCGGATGGAAGCAACCGTGTCCCGCAGCAGCTTCTGATACTTCGCTTCATCGATCGCCTTATATTCATCAGACTCAAAGAAGGAGGCGCGTGCTTCCTGCCTGGCCTCGTCCAAATCAGCCTCCCTCCGAGCCTCCAACGCGGCCATGCTGGACCCCAACTCCTGAACTTTGTCCTGAAGCTTCTTTTCCCTCTCTGCGGTCTCCAGTATCTCCTTTTTGGCTTCTGCTAGCTCCTGGGCGGGTCTTCGTCAGCTCCTCCTGCGCGGTCCACAGCTCTGCATCCTTCACCTTCTGGGCCGCCTCTTGCTCCTTGAGTACTTCCTCCCGAAGTTCCTGGCGAACGTTCTCGCGCCCATCCTTCAGCTGCTTCTCAAGTTTGAGGATGCGGGAATCCCGGTCGCCCAGCAAGCGCTCATTGTGCAGGATCAACTGACTTATCCCAAATTGCGCCTAAGTGTAAGAATCCAGATCAGTACCTTACGACTAACGTACGAAACAAACTAAGACATGGTTTAAACACTCACCGCAAAGAAGCATCGAGCGGTCGTCCCGGCCAGGTGACGGGTGTCCGAAGTAGTGGGCATGGTGCCCGCGACCCGCACGTACTCACTCGGGACGGTGAACCCCTCGGCGATAGCATGAAGAGCGCGGCGTGCCGGTTCAGCGGAGGAAGTAACATGCGGGGAATACTGCGCACTGGCCGACAACTCTGTTGTCTTCTGCCTCTTCGTACCAGCTGGCGATTCAGGACGCTGGTCAACCAGAACCCCCTTCAGCTTCGGCTGCACTTCCGAGGGCGTCTTATCCTTGACAACCACAACGTCCAGGGAGCGTTTGTTGCTAACCCGGGCCGCGCCCTGGCTGCTGGGAACGGTCAGCTTCAAATTCCCGGAGTGCCCCATAGCCAGATGTGATTGGGTTGAACCGCTGGCCGCTCGGGGTCCTTCGGAGCTCCCGGGAATGGAAGGAACGGCTGAAGGAGAACCGCTCGTGGCCACCTTGGACGGTCGGGCGGACGACGCGTACCGGCGGATCCCTGAAAAATAAATACATAAGTAAAGGCATGAGCAAGCAACATTTCATCAAAACCAAGGGAAACTAACTAACCGTGAAAACGTTGCACAATCTCAAGTGCATTATCGTGCCCGTGCGGGGGCAGCCGAAACTGAACGGTCGAAGTGATGCGGTCCAGATGAGGTCTCAGATGATGGAGCTCCTTGACACCGTCGTCCCAATCCTCCGTTCTCCCAAACGAAAATGCGGTTAGCGGTTCCGCATCGCCCGAATACCATTTACCAGACGGACGGGCAAAGAAATACTCTCCCTCCCACATGTCCTCATGAAGACGCACTCGATACTCACGGTCAGAGACCGCCTGATACGGGTGGACCAGGGGCGTCTCCGATAACGCCAGCGAAGTGGAGTTCTCTATCGAGTCTTCCCCATCAGAGTCGTGAGCCGCATCTTTCGGGGCGCTTTTCGACGATAGTTCTACCAGGTTGTCACCTACTCGGGAGGTTCCGCCCCGTTCAACCATGGAGGTGGCCATGTCATTAAAAGCGCCCGCCCCTAGTCCTAAAATACAACCGTCAGGCCTATCTAGACGCTCACCCGCAACAACCGCACCGCCACCCCCACACAACAATTCAATACCCTCCGAGTCCCATTCTATGTCAGATAAACTTAAAGGACTAGAGAGATCAGGCATACCTGCTCCAGCAGCAGGACCGCCTGTGCTTGCGGCTTGGGTTCCGGAACGCACGACGCCGGCTCCGCCGCGGGAAGCAACACCGTCTCCGGGAACGGTGGCCGCCGCCGCACCGGAGGTAGTCGTCGCCGCAGCAGCCGAGGCAGTGTTGGTGGCGACGTCAGAGGCGGACGGCGGGGCCGATTCGCCGGACAGACCCTGGTTCTGACTGTCGGATGGGGTAGTTGCCTGAGAAACCATGGCGAGTAGTTGTTTTTTCTTCCTCTTGTCTCGTTTCTGGGTTCTCCTCAAAGAGGTCAAGAACCGACGTCGATCCGCTGAAAGAGACGGCCGAGTCTCCAAATAGTGCGAGAGAGAGAATTTGGAGCACCGCGCAATTTTGAAAAGAAGACAGAGAAAGCAGAGGGCGAAAGTGACCAGCAACGGGAAGTCTGAAATATATATAACGGCAAAAAGGAAGTGATGTGACTGTTGAGTACCCTAGGCCACGGAATTCAAAAGCAGGCACGCGAAAGGACGTTTCGCCTGCCCGATGTCAGAGCATGGAAACCAACCTGCAAGCACGTGTACAAGGCGTCTACACCCGAGACCCGCGAGGCGGTCGAGTTACACCTCAGGCAGTTCAATCCTAGGCCCCTGGCGTCCAGGGGCAGAATGGGGTAAGGAGAAGGCGTGAACCGCTCAACTAGCTAAAAGCATTGTTAATAGCCGCCAAAACCCTAGCCTTTTCCCGCCTAAGGGGCAATTGTTGGGCCGCGTAGTTGAGCGCAATTGGGCTTCTGGCCCAAGAAGGGTGCATCCGTAGTTAAGGCCCAATAGGAAAGGCCAGGCCCGATCAGAAGACCGGGTCAGCGGGCGGTCCTTGACAGGCAGCAAACCCGAAAAACGGATAAGGATGTCTGACATAAAGCGACTGGGCAACGCAGAGGAGCAGGGAGCCGTTGAAGATGCGTATCCGGTGTCAGGCAAGACTGAGCATTTATTGCAGGCCTCAGGCGGCCTGCAGAAAGGTAAAAAGCCTGATCGGGGCGCCTGACACAGCCCGGGGCGCCCGACATAGCATTTAATGTCCCAACTACCTTCGAATCAGGTATAAATACAGAGTAAGCTCATTTATGGTAAACTCAACTACTACTCATCTCTCTACATAAATCTCTCTTCTCCCCCATTCTCTCTCTAACTTAAACTTCGGAAAGTGTCCCGGGCGACCGCCCTGGACCCTTGTTTTGCAGAGTATCCGGAGCGCCCCCCTCAGTCCAAGAACAGGCGCCTCGCTCCAGCTTCACAAACCGCCTAGTATCTACTAGGCACAAACACATAGGCAAGTCCAGTCAAACGAAATTCAGTAGGTTGTGTGCTGGTGTGATGCTAGTAAGCAACTCCGGAACGGGATGTGTTGAGGTTTATCTGTTGACCAAACCCTTCAATAGGTTTATAGTTCATTGTACTTATGAGCCTGATTTACTTCTTGCTGAAGAGTGTAAACGGTAACTCACCTGATTATCAGTGGAATCAAACGTGTGAAGACATTTTGCTGCGCACTGAGATCTGAATAATCAACTAAGCAATTCCATGCACTGAACTACTAACACTCCAGTTCTTGACTCAATGTACACTCCAGGGAACATCATTTCATGCTTAGTTACAAAGAGGAGTTCTAAATTCTAATGCTTTGAAAGCTAGAAGCCACTCATGAAGATGGAAAGCTACTATCCAACCTAGTAAACTAAAAGAAAATGAATCTCTTCTCGGAAGCAACAGAAACAAGATTAAAGAACAACAAAAGATCCCCAGGAGGAAGCTTAAGCAAACACATTAAACCTGTGACAGCCCAAGAGGGTTAGGTCCACTTCTTCTCCATCAGCATCAGGTAGGGAAGTTCTTCTTCATTTGACCATGTCCATTGAACAAAGAAGAGTAAGTCTCCTCGAAGATAGAGACAGAATTCATTGTTTTCAGTAAGCTCGAGACCCTGATTTTGACGAGCTCTGCAACAAGTGAAGACAGTACTCCTCTGGGTTTGTCATCAGCAACAATCCAGCTTCGGCCATACTCCAAAACCCAAGTGTTCGGATCTAATTGAACCACTGAACCGCTCCATTGCTTCTGAACCCACGAAGCGTTCCCTCTTCGTATCACATACCCAATCTTTCCGTCAGCCCACTGCCCACAAACAGAAAGAAAAGTTCTTCAATGGAACACATACCCTAAGAACACTGGAAGGGAAGATGGAGAAAGAGGGTTTCTTGAAATGAATTGAAGTTTGTTTGTTTACCTCCGTGACTCTGCCTGATAGAACGGTGAACGAACGCGAAGAAATTCCAGTCTTGATCAACCCCGCAGTTTGCAAAGGCCATCCCCAAATCTTTACTTCCTCTGTTCCTGACTTGTACAGCATACAATGGGAGCTCAAGAGCAGACCATTTTCCTGGAAACAAGATCGACTTGATGAACCAAATCAAAAGGAATATTACATCTCAAAGTGGAAATCGAAGACATTTTTCCTTACATGATTGATTTTCCAAGCTGAATCTTTGAAACTGCAGTTGGAAACCCTTACTCCAGGAGCGAAATTCCGCAATTGATTCTGCACATACATCAACCTTCCACTTAAACCCCCTTTCACAACCCTAGATCTCTCACCAGCTGCCCTTACCGAATCCGCTGTAAAGACAGGCTTCAGAGCACTAGTGACCCACATGGAGAACACTGTCTCCGACGCCAAAATCAAGATCAAGACGAAACCCAATTTCAAGAGAACCCCTGCTGCTGCTGAAGGTGAAAGTGAAGATGAACCACAATCTTTCTTCTGCCCTTTGTCCTTCTCTTCCTCTATCTTCTGCCGATTCGAATTTGAAGCTCTTGCAGTCGATTTGAGGGCTGGAGACGTGATTACAGCCCGGTAACTGGATCTTGGGGTGGAGACGACAGAAGGGTCGAAGGAAAGCGGAGTCCTGCGTCCCAAATTGGGGCGAGAAGAGGATATCTTGTCTCGGGATGATTTCTTCTGGGTGCTGTAAGGCATGAGATCGAGAGTTGCGTTGATGCTTGCCAAGCAGATCTCACACTCGCAATTGGCGTCCTTCTTGCAGCCTGGGTAGTAGCAGCTGCCATCTGCCGGTCTGGCATCTTCCGTCCCGGCGGCTACCATGGTGGTCGTGGAGTTCGATCTAACGGACGACGACGATTCCGCTGGTTTCATGGTGGAATTTGGGTTTTCTAATTTGTTTACGCTTTTCTTCTTTGGGTTTGTTAGGATTTCTGAAATAGGATTTCTGAAAAGCTCGAGTCTTGTTGAGGTTTGGAGTTTGGACTGGGTTTGTGCGTGAGAGTTAGGAGCGAGGAGTGATTCCGACGGTTTAGGCGTGGAGAGGAGCCGATATTTGAATTTCTAACGGTCGTCGCTGTATTCACGTGGATTAGATGGAAGAGTTTTCACTTCTTTTTTCTATTTTCTTTCTTCTCGGCCGTGGAAGGATATAAAAGGAGAAACGAGCCCATACTAATGGGCCCGAAAAAATCTCATTGTCATGGGCCTGGCAGGCGACGATGGCTTGGCACTAACCCACTAAAATCCTAGAAAATTAAATTAAGTTTCCGAAAATGAGTTGTATTTTTTATTTTTAAATTTGAGACGTGATTTTTTTTTTTTTTGACAAAAGATAATCTTATATTGATCCAAAAAAGATAGTTACACCCTGGATCCAAGCCAGGTACAGAAATCAAAAGAACGACTTATAGCCGGGTACAAAGAGAGGGCTTTCCTAGCCACCAAATGGGCAACCCTATTACTACTCCGACCAATAAATCGTACACTAAACCCCGGGATGCTATCAAAAAAATGTAAGACTTCCTCCAACACAGCACCCATCCGGTTATCCCTAACATCCTTGCAATTGATTTTATCAATGATGACCTTGGCATCTCCTTCAAAGCGCATCCCCGTGAATCCCTGCCCCACACACCACGTAATGGCCTCCCGGAGTACAAGCAACTCTACGACCATCGGGTCATCAACCCCCCTAAACTGGAACCCGTGAGCCATAAGAACAACCCCCGAAGGCGCCAGAAGAACAATGCCACCTGCAGAGTGTGATCCCTTCCTGACTGCCCCATCCCATTGACAAATAAACCCTGGAGCCGGACCCGGTACACTTGACTGGGGAACCCCCGGAGGAGAAGGCGCGATGGGCACATCCTTTGGCAGCCCTACCCATTCCTCATACTGTTGGGAAAACTGCCTCATCAGCGCGGGGAACCCAAACTGTTTCCCTTCAAACACTACCCAGTTTCTCGAACGCCAGATGCGCCAAAGGATAGAGACTACTGCCATGAGGAGCGTCGGCTGCTTGATTAAGGCCATTACACGTTTAAGAAACAGAGGAAAAGTATGACGAGGCAAACCTTCCCCTATGTATTCTAACCCGGAAAGCCCCCAGAGCTCTCGCGCAACCGGGCAATCCAAAAACAGATGCTCCATTGTTTCCGGGCCACCCCAACATACCGGACAACGAGCAAGGATCGGTACTTTACGTTCAATAAGGGCCTCCGCGGTGGGGAGAGTTCGAGTGAGAATTTGCCAAATAAAGACTTTCAACTTAGGGGGAATATCAGCCTCCCATAACCCGACCCAACTAGCTCTATCCATCCAACTAGCTCCCGCCTTCCAACGCCCCCTCCTCCTATCCAGGGAGACCGCCAAATGATAGGCTGACTTAACCGAGAACACCCCATCAGGAGTAAAATGCCATATCAGTTTATCCGGAAGATCCTGCCTGGGGAGGGGAATAGTTTTTATAATGCGACACGTAGGCGGATCAAACCACAGCCTAAGCTTGGACTCGCACCACCTCCCTTCCCCCTGGCAAATTACCTCAGCCACCGTGGGATCACCTCCCACCGGAAGAACCACCGGGTTGTACCTCGGGGGATCAAGCTGCAGCTGAGGAATCCAGGGGGATCGAAGCAGGGACGCCGAGCGCCCATTCCCAATTTGCCATCTAAGTCCCATTTCCAACAAATCACGACCATACAAAATGCTTTGCCAGCCCCAGGAAGGGCGCGATCTGGCTTTCGCATTGAGAAAATGCCCTGTGGGGAAATACTTACCCTTATAGACTTGAGCTAGAAGAGATTGAGGCTCTGCCAAAATACGCCAGCCGATCTTGGCTAAAAGTGCCTGATTGAACTGCTCAAACCGGCGGAAACCCATTCCCCCCTCATGCTTACTTTTACACATATCCCGCCAAGCCACCCATCGCATCCTCGACTGTCCCTCCTCATCACCCCACCAAAAACGCGCAACATGCTTATCCAAAAGGCGACACAGTGATAGAGGCATCTTGAAACAAGACATGACATGCAATGGTAAGGCCAAGGCAATTGACTTGATTAGCGTCTCCTTTGCTGCCCAGGAGAGTGTCCTCCGTTTCCAACCCTGCAGCCTTTCCAACAGCTTAGCCTCCAAATAACGAAAGGTATCCATTTTAGACCGAGCAATCAGAGTGGGGAGTCCCAGATATTTATCATGCACCCCAACAGCTCCCACTCCCAAAATTGCGGCTAAGAACTCTTGGTCAGGAAGAGCAATGTTCTTACTAAAACAAACAGCCGATTTCCCCAAATTGACACGCTGCCCACTGAGTTCCTCATATTCATTTAGAACCGTGATTAAATTCTCACATTCTTGCAGAGTGCCTCGCAAGAACAGATACGAATCATCAGCAAAAAACAAATGCGAGATACGTGGGGCACGCGGGGCCACCTTAACCCCAGCCAGCCTCTTATCCTCAATCGCCTTACGCAAGAGTGCCGCAAACCCCTCAGTGCAAAGCACAAACAGAAGAGGTGAAAGCGGATCCCCTTGCCGCAAACCCCGCGAAGGTCTGAAGAACCCAGAAGGAGTACCATTCATCATGACCGAAAACGATGACGACCGGAGACACTCATGTATCCACCCCTGCCAGACTGAGTTAAAGCCCATCTTGTCCAAAATGGCAAGGAGAAACGGCCATTCGACTCTATCATAGGCCTTTTCCATGTCAACCTTAAGAGCCATGTACCCCTTCTTACCTTGCTTTTTGATTTTCAAGTAGTGCATTAACTCATGTCCAAGGAGGATATTTTCCACAATTTGGCGATCCTTAATGAAAGCATTTTGTCCAGAAGAAACAATGTTAGGTAAGAGGCCCGCTAAACGTTCAGCCAAGATCTTAGCTATGATCTTATACACAAACTGGCATAGACTGATAGGGCGCAACTGTCTCATGGATTCCACACTATCCACTTTGGGGATCAAAGTGAGCCAGGTGTGATTGAAGCTACGGAGCATCCTTCCCGTCGAAAAGAACGAGCAGACTGCTTCAACCACCGAATCTCCTACAATACCCCAAAAGGCTTTAAAAAACTTGCCAGTAAACCCATCAGAACCAGGGGCTTGCTTAGCTCCCATCGCAAAGACAGTTTTCCGAACTTCCTCCGGGAGGACAACAGCCGTCAGACCAGCATTCATTTCTGGCGTCACACTTCGGGCGATAGGCAAAGCACCCACTCTCTCCCCCATGTTAAGGACTTGGTTTTCTGATGTGAACAGGTGGCTATAAAAATTGGTGGCGATATCCGCTTTCCCTTTCTCATCAGTAATCCACTCACCGTTCTCATCTCTTAGTCCTGAAACAAAATTTCGCTTACGACGCGTTCGAGTCACCGTGTGAAAATAAGACGTGTTTTTATCTCCCTTCTTTAACCAGTGAACTCTAGACTTCTGCTGCCAGTAAACTTCTTCCGCATCCCACTGCCTAGTTAATTCAGCCTCCAAGCCACGTACTGTTTCCCAATCAATCGGGTGGATTAACTTAATCCGCTCAATCTCGCTTTGGAGCGTTCTGATATTTCGTAGCGAATTAGTTGTTCCTGCCCTGCTCCAATCATATAATAGATGTCGCAGCTTCTTAAGGCGCTCCCACAAGCGAAACATCGGGGTGCCTTGGATATCCTCCTGCCAAACGTAAGCAACCATGGCCTTCACTTCAGGGTTCTCCGCCCATCGGGCATCAAACCGGAAGAGAGGGCGACTATTACGCACATAGGGTTTATCAGAAAGAATAAGCGCCCGATGATCCGACCCCTGGTCCGTAAAGTGCTTGACCAAAGTATCAGGAAAGCGGTCAAGCCAAGATTGCGAACAGAGGGTTCTATCCAGTCTCTCCCTAACACAGGCCGCCCCCATGCGTTTATTGGTCCAAGTGAATTGATCCCCCTGAAAACCAGGATCAATAAGGCCCAAATTCTGGATAAAATTGCGAAGACTGAGGGCCTGAGCCATATTCCAGTTATTTCCACCATCCTTCTCACTCTCATGAAGCGTCGTATTAAAATCGCCTAAAATAACATAGGGACTTTGGATACCCGCACAGATTTCATGGAGCTGGTCAAGCTGGATAGCACGACGAGTCAAATTGCAACTAATGTACACAAAGATCACCACATACGAAAAATTCAATTCATTAATCTGGACACAAACACAAAAGTCCGAATGAAAAAACACCGAAGCAGCAACTTCGGGAGCCCAAGCGACAACAAGACCACCAGATGCATCAACCGCATCAACAAAAAAACAACACGAAGACTCAAAACCTAACCCACGCAACCGACGGGACACTACACGCCGTCTCGAACGTGTTTCCGAAAAAAACACAAGATCCGGCTTATTAGACCGAACTAACCCAACAGCAGTTTGAAATGTGAGGGACGGGCCAATTCCTCTCACATTCCACGCCAGAAGCCTCATTTATCTGCCTGGGGCCACTCAAGGCTGGCTTCCTCCACCTGATCAGCAACATCATCAACTTCCACAAATTGTTTTTTGGGAGACGGGGGAATACCCAGGTCTCCTCCTACATGCTCCAGCGAGCGTTTGCGAGCCCCAATAGCCGGGTGCTGCATATTCGAACCGTATTCATCCAGTACCTCCGCACCATAGCCATCATCACCACTCTGTCTCATCCCAGGAGCATAGGCACACGA